CCTTCTATAGGTATGAGGATAGAAATGATCACTAGCAAATGATCATTATAGCTCAGCCTTATTATTTATGGCTAAGAAGGAGATTTTGATACCACCTAATACTTAATGAAGTTTTCCTGCATTCTACTGAACTGAAAATTAAATCCTATTAATATCGTTTGCTCTTTTTTCTTATTGTTAGAAACACAATGTTAAATACGTCAATTCTCAGATTCCCTAAATGTTAGAAGTGGCCATATGACCCACTTTTCGCCATAGAGATACGTGTTATGGGCATTAAGTGGGGCTTTAGAGTAAGTTATTGTTTTCATTGTTTAACAACAAAGAAAGCTATGCCTACACACAAATGGCTTCCATTGTGATATTCCTATCCCCCTTACACTTGGACTCTCTGCCCAGGAAGTTTATACTGCAACATTGAGAGGCACTTGACCCATACAGGTCTCTGATCCTAGAAGAATAGAGATAATACAACCAGATACAAACATGAAATAAGTCTGTGGCTTGCAACCAATTTCAGCTGAAGTCAACCTCTGCTTGAGCAAAGATATGTGAGAAACATTTATATGCTGTATAATACAAACAGTTCTTTTGGTTATTTGTTATGCAGTATTTTGTAGGAACAGTTGATTGAGACAATAAGCTAGAATCAAATCATAAAGATGTTTAATTAGGAGACTACAGTAATGTGGTGTATAATAATCCACTTCTGCAGTGAGACTGCCAGAGTGCAGTATTCAATTGTATTGTTTTTAATCACATGAGTTTTAGTGAAATTAATTACCCAGTGTTGGAGTTTTCTCAGTTGTAAAATAGGAACAATTATAATGTATTTTTTGAGGGTGAAACAAGCTAATCATTTAATGTTTATCTGATATGTACTAGATAGTTAATGTTCACAATCATTATTCAACTCAAGCCAGTGAGTTCAGATTTCATTTAGCAGGTCAGTGGCTTTTAATTATATTTCCATGAAAGATGGAACTTTGGCTGACTGAGGTATTTTAGTCTTTGATAAAACATATTGGCTTTTTCTCAGTATGCAGTGAATTTAAGAAATTTGACATAACTTTATTCTAGAAATCTTTATCACCTACATATTTTTAAATCTTTTGTACTAGGGACAAACTGTAAGCCAAGTGACAAGTAAAACTATAATATATTAATAGAAAAATTCAGAAACAACCAATTATACTAACTTCAAATTTAATTTTTGTGTATACATGTGGTACTGGGGTTAAACCCAGACCCTTCATATTAAGGTACAAACCCAGACTTTTATTACTTTTAAATTTTGAGACAGGTTCTCCCTCATCACTGAATTGTCTACACTAAACTCAAACTTGCAATCTTCCTGGTTTGGCCTATCATATTTCTGGGATTAGAGACGTGTAATACTGCACCTAGCTGAAATCTATTCTAAATAGGTATGTATGTTCACAGTCATCATTTTTAAACTGCAGAGGCAAAACACAATATATTTTCTCAGAAAACTGGTTGCTCATTCTTGTGATAAACCTGACTATATCTTTCAGGAATATTTTACAAAAATGATATTCTACGAAGAACACAATACCTGGGTGTGGTGGTACACGCCTGTAATTCAAGCACTCAGGAGGATCATTGCGAGCTGGAGAACAGGCTGGGCTACAAAGTGAGTTCAAGGCCAGCCTGAACTGCATAGGGAGACCCTGTCCCAAAAAGACAATAACAAAGAACACAACAATTTCTCGACTGTTGGCTTACTAAGATTGTTACTGAGGATTGAGAATTTCTGAAAAAATGTATCTGATACTTGACTCTCATTTCATGGTAAATCTAAATTTGAAAAGCTTAACTTTAAAGGAACAAAATTTAAATAAATAAAGGGCTAGAAAGCAAGTAGGGGGGCTGGGGATTTAGCTCAGCGGCAAAGCGCCTGCCTGGCAAGCACAAGGTCGTGAGTTCGGTCCCTGGTACCGGAGGGGGGAAAAGAAAAAAAAAAAGAAAGCAAGTAGGAAGATATACACCTATAGAAATATGAATGTGATTACTACTTATAAGCAGGGAATAGAAAGAGATGGATTAATAGAAAAGATGTTGGGGAAATAAACACTATTTGACAACAGACACATGCAAATGTTGAGGAGAAGAACTTTTCTTAAACTTTTGTTATAAATTAAAATCATCACAAGAACTGGTATAGAAATACACATATGGTCTATATTACCATTTTCCAAAATTATGACTGAGAAATTCAGGAATTGTGACCCAGAATCCATATATCCCCTGCTTTACTCTGATTTAGGTGGTTGGGAGTCACATTTTGATAAAATTAGAATATAGCTTTCTCTAACCATTTGGAAACATTTGTTTGACTCTGAGATTCAGAATCATTTAGCTTTTTCTCTGTCCCAGTTACTACTGGTAAGGACTGCTGCAGATGGTAAGTAAAAGGTAAATATAACTCCACAGTTTTATGCCTCAGCACCTGGCAGGAAGATGTTCCATGGATAAAGATGAAAAATATAATGATAAAATCATAGTTTTGGAGATAGGAAAGGTAATCCACGTTCTCCTTCCTTCTTTTCTTCCTCCCCTTTTTATTGTTTCTTTGAATTGAATTCTGGACTTGGCAGGTTGACAGAGACCACTATGAAGTGGTTCTGAGCAGGATTTAATATTAACCAATTGGCTTTCCATGTTTACCTGTGAGTTGTCTGAAGTTTAGGCACTTTGTCTAAAGATTGGCAGTGAACTCATAGTAAATGAACCTCTATGAGTCACTGGTCACCGCTAAGGCCTGTACTGGCCTGTGAAGCTGTGATGCCTTGAAGGATAAGATAAGGCCACATCTGAGGACGTGTGGCTCCAACCCCAGTTAACTTAAAGGAGACTACGGCTGCAGTCTCCACACTTCTACAATAAATACCAACCTAAAGATAAGGTAGTTCTCTTGATTGACATAATTAACTACTTCGAAAAATTCTCCCAAGGTCCTGCTCAGAGTCCCAAATTTTCGGGGGAGGGGTGTTTTGCGGGGGCTCCAGTACTGGGAATCAAACTCATGACCTTGTGCTTGCCAGGCAGGTGCTGTGCTGCTGAGCTAAACCCCCAGCCCCAAGTCCCACATTTTCTTGAGTATCCCCTCCCTTTCTTTGTAAACCAAATAAATATGGGCTGCCCAAACAAGTCTTTGTCTATACCCAGAGAATATCGAATGCTATAAGAGAGTTAGACCCTCCTGGAGCCCTGAAATCATTTCAATTGCCTCATTTATTTAAGCCTTCACTGTCTAGTCAGTTGGGAGATTGCGGTCTTGATCAGCCTGCAATAACTAAGGGTTACTTAACCAGATAGAAGGTCATGGAAGAGCTGCATTACTAAATAACAACTTTCTTTCACATATGGTTTAGGACAAAGATCTGTGTAAAGATGGTGGGAAATCAAGACAGCCACTTTACTATTGATAAATATCAGTTGGAAGCTGAAATTTGGACTTCTTCACCTAACATTAAGATGCCTACTCCTGCCAGTTCCATTAAGCTGCATCTTCCAAGATCCCTGAAAGCAGATAAAAGACTCATCTTGTTCACCTCACTTAAAACTGTCCTCTTCAAAGTTTGTGGTGTAGATCTCGTAATAGTTTTTATTTGTAACATACACTTCAGAAGTCAAACTTAATGTGATTATTGCTGTTACCTTTACTTGAGCCTAAATATTTTTGTCTTTTTCTCCTAGCTTTATTGAGGTATATAACTGACCAATAGGACTACCTTAGCCAATTTAATTACCAAATATACCACCACACATAGTTACAATTTTTATTTGGTAATATTTTGAAATTTTTTCTATATAGATTTAAGATTTAATGCTATTAATAAAGTTTATGAATACATAAAAACACTAAATATCATAATGTAACTTCTTTCTTTCTCATGTATTAACTACACTGAGTAGTGGGTTTTATTTTGGCAGATTCATACATGCATATAAAATACTTTGATCATTTTCAGCCCCTATTACCTTTCTTTCCCAGCCTCTCCCTAGTGAACTAAATTTTATGAAGTTATGGGGCAAGTTTTATCTGTTCACTAACCAATATCCAAACTTTCGTACACAACTAAGCCAAAAGTTCAAATTCTAAGTGACTTGTCAAACAAATATATTTAAAAAGAACATTAATAGTTACTTTGATTCTTGTCAGATGTTATCCTGTTTGTTAATACTTACTCAAACTCAGGTTTCATATTACTGATGGCAAATTTAAAATGACAAAAGCTATTGAACTGTCTGCAAGAGAAAAGAGCTGCAAAAACTCAGTCTGAGCCCAATTTCGGTAAAAGAAACAAAGAGCTGCAGAGTTTAAGTGCTAGGGTGGGCAGACCATAGGCCACCTGTGTCTGGTACCTGACTACACTCAGAAGTATAACTGAGCTTTCACCTGTCTCCATCACTGGAGGTCTTCTCACAACCTGAAACAAGGAATTTGCAGAGGGTTAGGGTCATATCCTCCACAAAATGAGAGATAAGCCACTATCTTTCCTTTTCCATCTTAATGTCTCCCAAGTCCTTCAAACTGACAAAAGCCTTTTATAAAAAGCCAGCTCAAAGGGGCAGAAAAAGAACTGACAATTCTACATTGTCTAAAGTGATGTAAGTAAAGTCAGGGGCCAGCAGGCAAAAAATGGTCCGTTTAGTCTGTAATCAAACGGGGGGACTAATTAATAATTAATCATCATTATTAATAGGTTCGTTTATTAATTAGGTGTGTTTTTGCAGTTTTCCAACAAAGAATTCAAATTATCAGCTTCATTTTTTTATGGTTCCCTCATGAAAACAGCTGATACGCACATAATTTTTTTACACATTCTTGCTCATTTATCCTAAACCTTCCCTTTTGTATTAAATGCTGAAGTGGAAGAGCAGCAAACAGTCCCTGCCGCGCCTGCGTCTCCACTGATCATCACTGCGCGTGCGCCGTCTGCTCTGCGCGTCTGACGTCACAGAGTGCGTCCTGCCCTTCCATATTAGCAACTTTAAGCGTCCATAGCAGCTGTGGCCGCTGAGATGTACGAACTTCCGGTTGTTGCGGGCTCCGCGGCAGGCACTGCCTTCTCTTGCCACCTGCCGTCAGGGGCCTTGGCTCCGGGTCTGGCCAGCGCTTCCTCCCCAGACGCGCCCATGTTCTCACGCGCAGCCGGCGTGGCGGGCCCGGCGGCGCCCGCGTGGTGAGAGGGCGGCCCGGGGACTATGCCGGCCCAGCGCTGCCGC